TTCTTTCTTCTTCAATTCGACTGACACTTTTTTATCACTGGCTATGAATGCTAAGAATAAGCTGTATATCACATGGAACCATAAATTGCAAAATGCTAAATTTATGGAACCATTTTGTCTTAGTAGCATTGAGAATTTTATTTTCCTCTTCATATCTCTTCAGCCAACTGTATTTTCATTCTTTTTTTATTTCATTCCGATTATTCTTCATACATGTAGGCGAACTACAGGAACTTTGCTGAAGAGGACAAGATATAAATATTCTGTCGATTGCTCTGATGACGTCTGATAAATTTCTATGAATATATCATATACTTTATTGATAGATCATGATTCTTTTGCTAATACCTTTACCTTTTAATTCTTCAAAAATATCCAGCTAAATAATAGCCAACTTTATTTAGACAATTAATGATGCTGCTATTTTAACTTTTCAAACATAAACCCGATAATGAAGTGTCTTATTTCATATTCTCATTTTACTTTAGGTCAAAGTTAACACTTTGTAATAAACTCGTTGGCTTTATAGCTTTCGATCTTTAGTGGTTTTTTACATTCTTTTTTACTCTTGTGATTCCCTTCAATACATTCTAAAATAATACTTTCTTCATTTTGAATGTTTTCTTTTAATTAAAAAAATTTATTTTTCATTAGTTTTCATCACTTGATAAGTTTAAGAATTGAACAAAAACATAATTTTCAATTCCTATTTGTGTTTCTTTTTTTTTTTTTAATAAAATAAGTTAAAATGATGTACATGAAAACCCTTTGGAGATAAAAAAGAGTCATTAGATTTTTTGTCAATCAGATATTTTTTACTACTACTGTGATCCAGTTGGAATTTTTGCTTGTCATGGCGTAGTCTACTAGAGTCCATTACTTTCAAAAAGAAAACTTTAAAGTTTAGTCACACAATCATATCTATCACACTAAAAAAGCACGGTTGATACATTAATAAATCAATAATGATAACAAAGATTATGTTGAAACAATATTGAACAAATTCGGTCCAGCCATTTTTTTTTAACAATTCTATATTGTTTATTAAAATTTCTATTTTTTTATAAACAATTAAAAATGGTTTTAATTTATTCAATTGTTATGACTATGATTATATTTGACAAATGTCAATAAAATATTATTATAAATAATTTGATTAAACAATTGTATATTGTTTATAACAATAGCAATTTGTTGTAATCAAAAAAACCAAAAGATGACAAAGTGTGCCCAGATCTGTTTTTTTGATTCAAAAATGATGAAAAATTTTGATAGATTTTATTAATAGTATTATTATTGATCATGAATTGATTATCATTAGAGATCAATTGTCATTCATTTAAGTGTTTCTAAGTTACCTTAGAAACTCATCAATGCTTTATCTTTCGTAGATCTTGACATAAGCGAGCGCGTCAACAGTGCTTGGGGTAAGTCCCAAAGTTGCAAGCCATTATCTATTTTCCTAATTATTTTTCTTCAAGTGTAACAGTCACCTTTCTCTTCTCTTCCTCACGGATTATTTTTGGTTTCTTCATCTCACTTTATCTGATGCACGTTTGTCTATCAGTCTGCCTTGAAAGTGTTTTGACATAGTAGATAAACCCCAGACAGAGTCAGACAGAAACTTGTAATGTTATTAAATCGAACTCAATATTTACATTCACTTGCTTATCACTATAGAGATTGTACATTAGCTCCAACTTCTCTTTCAAGAGCTGAGCAAGCAACTATAAATAAATATTATTTAACTTCTAATTAATTAATATACCTCTTAAGGATTATATTTATCACAAGAAATGATGATTATGTTTAAAGAGTCCATCTCTTACTTCAAATTCCCCTCACATTCCATTCCATCCTCATTCACGACATTCTTGGCTTTCACTGAAGCTCATTTAATCGCAGAGACTACAATAAAACCTCTCACAAGTGTTGTCAGAGTACACGGGAAACCCTCGTTACTTTCCGGTAGTTGCAGCAGCTGGTCTACGAGTCCCGTCAGGCTGAAAGAGGGTGAGGGACCAACAGTTACAGCCAACATGTCTATAATAAGCTTCCCTTGTGGCCCTTGGACTTGAGTCTTACTTTATTTTTAACTCACGTTTTCTCACTTTCATTTTCTCTTTCTGCTAGGCTTAACCCTTTTTCTTCATTTCTTCACTCACGTAGTCTAGATATTTATCCCATTTTTCCCTTTTTTTTTTACTGCAAATGTAGCTGGAGAAAACGTTTAATTTTTTATTCTTTGATCCTTATCCAAAGGGATGAAGATATTTTGATACCAAAGAATTTATGGTTTTTGATAATTATGTGACAATGAAAAATGATCTAGATCTATTGAGAATTTTTTACGTGACTTGAAAAATATTAAGAAATTAATTAAAACTAATAGTTGTGAATGGTTTCAAGTTAGATATGAATAAGAAAAAGGGAAAGGTTAAGGCAAGGTTGATAATATTTCAGGAGGGAGAATAAAATTCTTCACTAAATGATGATCATCTCATATCGACTGTCAAATTTTAAGTTAGGGGAGATTGGTTAGTGTGCTAGGGGAAATATGAAATTTAGTGAATATTAGCTGTCTTGAAGTATTTAGCTATGGGGTTTTTTTCCGCTCCAGGACCTCATGGTTATTTTATTCAGTGAATAAATACATCCTGGAATCAGCAGGAAATAGGTTCGTTTTATGAGGATATTGATGGTTATATTGCTGGACACTGCAAAAATAGGGTGACTCCTGTGCTAGAGTGTGAAATGAATTTCCTAGAAAAAATTGGCTGTTAATATTTTCAAATCACCTTATTGGGCTTTTTATCTTAGTCAATGAATCTTGAGATAATTAAGGAGAAGACAAATTGTCTTCAACGTTCAAGTCTGTTTAAGTTCTATAATCGATCGATAAAAACATAAGAAACAACTGTGAGAAAAGATTGCGTTTGGTGATAAAGTTTGACTTTTTTCGTTTAACTTTGTTCATCTAAACTTTCCCTTTTGTTTTAAGAGTTCTTTTATAAGTTCTGAGTACTTACCACTTTTTCTATCATCGATGATAATATTTCTCCATTATCATCTTTCAGGAAGAAAAATAACAGCAAGTGGATTGTAGACTTGTTCTTTTATTTTAAAATATTTATTTAAGGAAAAATATTGAAACTTTATTGCTATATTATAGTTTAAATTTGCTCTTGAGTTGGCAAAAAAAATTTTTAGATACGTCCACTGATGTTTGCTCGGGGGAACTCTTTTTATCTTTTAAAGACTATCGTTCTGCTCTGAGAGCTCTCGATCTGAGAAAGACTGCGGATATACGGATGTTGGATACTAAAAGGATAAAAGTTTTTTATCTTTTAATTCAATGTCTTAACCAGCATTTAAGTAATTTTATTGATCAACTTAATGTGATTGTCATTTGAATTACAAATATTATTCAATAAAAATAATAAATAAAATATTTAGAACAAATATTTTATAAATTGTGTACTAATATTGATATTTATTTATAAAATTTATCTTAACAAGTATTTATTTAACTGAATATATATATATTCTAGGAACCAAATTGCAGACTAACTCCTCTTTTTACTTTGAGTAAAAAAATTCTCAGCATGTTGTGTCAACAGAATGTTTCCTTTCCTGTAACTTTTGCTGTTCTAAATCCTACTAGTCTGCCAATTAAAATAGTCCATTCGTCGATGTGACGAGTCGTAAACGTTTTACGACGGTGTCTTGGGATAAATGTTTATCATTTGAGTACGTCGATCGACCATGGTATATTATTAGCCATTATTTTCTATGAAAAAAGTGTAGAAATGGAGTTGACACAGTTCTAGACATGTTTAAAAAATGAAAGCATGTGAAATATTAAGATAAAAGTAGCTCGATATTCTTTGACAGCAAAATCACGTTTCTCTCTAGTAATCCAATAGTTTTTGTAAAGAGAAAAATGTTGCCCGAGGTCACGATCAAATAAAAGTCGCTATTCATCGTGTCTCAACTTTAAACGATAAATTTATAACTTTTTCTTAAAAAAAAAATATTGCTCTTTTTCAATGAATTAATTGATTAATTGAATAGAATAAATATTTTTGTCAAAAGCACTTGGTTTCATTGTCAAATTGAAGTTTCTTGTGACAGTTTCATATTGATTAGAAGCATATGGTTATGATGGAGCATGAGAAGTCAAGCTTGTCAGTATCCAGTGGGGAATTATTTGTATCAAAAGATCTAACATAGAGGAACAAAAGCCCCACTTTGCTTTAGAGACTAACTAGGAAGACAGGTTTGATGCCTTTGAGTTTGAGATGTTGGTCTCAAAGACATGTGACTTGAAATAAGTCAAGAAGATGTATGCTAGAACAAAGGTAACCAAGTAGAAATACTACTTTCAAGTTTCAAATTTTTAATTATTCTATGTTTTAGAACAAAAAATATTCTTCCATTCACATGTTTAAAACAATTTTCTCATCCTCATGCATAAAAGTGCTACGCATATTAGTCAAACTATCTCTGATCCTCCAATTCTTTCATACTTAATCAAGCGTGGTTCCGTGTTATTTATAGTTCAAGAGTCAGCTGTTATAAAAATCGAAACATAAAAGGGTACATTTACGATAAAGATAGTGATATCGACACCTTACACATGACTAGACAAGTTGAAATGAGAAATGCTTACATTTTCTTCTTACAACTCAAACAGATAAGAGTTTCATCTACCAACATTTTCACTTCTGACTAGTACAAGAAGATGTCGGAAAGAATGTTCACTGGACAGACATTGAATTTGATTGAATAGGGAGCAAGGGAATTTCGTCTTCACACAATAACACAATATATTTGAATGTATTCTAAAAAGTATATATATATTCAACAGCATAATACACTACTTTTCAGTAATATGTCAAGCGAAAATACATTATTCCAAATAAGATAGTCTATTATGAATAGTTCTAAAAAAATATCCTTTTCCATTACCATAATTTATTGATTTATTTTTGTTGCAGTTGTTGTAATGTGTGCAAATTCAACCACAGTACGAGAGATACTTTTAGCTGCTGAAGAACTTGGAATGGTTGATTCAGGGGAATACGTATTTTTCTCTATAGAACTTTCCTCAAGGTGGGTTTATAATTTTAAATTATTCATAATTTCATAGAATATTTGTTTTAATAAAAAAACTTCTTCACTATAAAACCTAGCTGGGTGATAAAGAAGTTTGTATTCTTGGAGCAAACGCTCCATGTAGCCTTTATTGGATCAAGCTAGACATATAGATAAAGACCTTTCTGCAATGTGTGTTACATGGCTTTTGTATGACAAGTTGGAGCTTTCTACGTTTGCAAACTCAATAGTATTTACGAAACACGTTGACGAAATTTACCAAGCATGAAAATTGAGTTATCATAGACTTATTCATGTTATTTGAACTATTAGATAAATCAGTAAAGTTCGATTCACTAGCTTAACCAAACTTGTTTAATGTCTACAATCTACTTATCAACTGGAACATTATGTGACTCTATATTATAACAGTTTATTCAACTAAGCTTTTTGTTCTAAATTAAAACCATCATCACAGATCAGTAAATGACTTTTGAAGTCCATATTATCATTTGTGACTAGAATTATTTTTTTTAGGAGTTTTTCAGTGTTTATTAATCAATCAATATTAATTTTATGCATGATTATGTGTTAGCCATTCATATTATCTTCGTCTTCCTGAATTTCATTACGATCTCATTATACAATTTGCCTGTATGCATGTTCGATATTGCGTAAATTGCTTATTTAATCCATTCTGAACGTGTTTTGTGCAGCTTGTAATTATATTGCTGTAAATTAGTAGTTAATTAAAATTAATCCTTTCTTTTAATCTTTTTAACAAGATTTTATAGAGATAGTGATTCATTTTTCATTTATGTCAACATCAATTTATAAAATTGAATTTATTGTGATGTAATTATATGCAAAGAGAACTGCATGGTATAATGAAATAATATTTCATATAGAATAAAAAATTTTAATATAATTTACAGACATTGTTTTTCAATTATTAAATTTATAATAAATGGTAATTGAATTTCATTTACTATTCATTAATTTTACTTCGTTAGTGCTGTAAAGATGAAATAAATATTGATAGTGTTAACGATCTCTATAATTTTTTACTTTTCTGTTTGTTCTCAGTATGAAGTACCATATTCACTGATAGAGGTTTTTTTTACTAACAAAAATTTACTTGAACTAATAAAGAATTCACTCAATTTTGGATTCAAATATTTGCTACATACTCTCATCAATGCATCTGCATACTCGTCAGTAACGAAATACAATTGATCTACATAGAGATTCATCCATTTAAATATTGAAATTTTTTAAAATTTATCTTTCTTTAATACCTCAACTGCAAATAATTTAAAAAAAAGAACTCTTTGTGAAAACAATTTTCAAATGGGCAATAAATCAATTATTTTACATATGATTTAAATAATATTTTTATAATAAAGAAATAAGACAATTTTTTTTTTTTCTAGTGACAATAATTCAAAAGAACCTTGGAGAATGGAAGGAGACACTGATGAGCGTAATGAGAAAGCAAGGAAAGCATATCAAGCTTTATTAACAGTAACAGCTCGTACACCAGACAATGAGGAATATTTGAATTTCTCCCGCGAAGTTAAGTCACTTGCACAAAGAAAGTACAACTACACATTTGGGAATAGTTCACTGTCAACATTTGTAGCAGCTTTTTATGATGCTGTATTTCTTTTTGCTCTTGCGTTGAAGGAAAGTCTTCCAGAAATACCAGAAGAAGTCAACTTGGATGGTGGAAATTTAACAAGAAGAATGTGGGGTAAAAGTTTTAAAGGTAAGATAAAAGGAATAATTATACACTTTTTATTTTTATCATTGAATCTTTCCAATTTATTGGATGATTTTTTGTTAATACTTATGACACTGAATTACTAGGGTGTTTCATTCATTTTCTGGTAAATTTATTATCTTCGCAAAGCCTAATAAGATTTATGTTAGAGTATCATCACTGATACTGATGGATCTTAATGTGTATCATTGTGGTTGAGCTCAAAGTATATTTTGTATAGGAGGGACAGTAACACAAAACATTTGACTCATATGAAGCGTAAAATAACCAAGGGGAAATCTTGGTTTTTTTAGGACTGACTGTGTACACATCCATAATTTATCAATTTTCTCTTTTCCGCAAAAATGTACAAAAAATATAAAATAAATAAATATAAATTACAATAGTAGAAATAAAAGTAGAATGATAGCCACCAGTAAGTTGTTCAATTGTGAAAATATATTTATTATTTGAATAATATTCAACTGAAACCTCAAATAAAATAATAATGATTATTCAGATGATAAAAGGTTGAAAGTTCATTGAATTTAATGGAATAGTTTAAATGTTTGTTCCTATCAAGCAAATAAAATTACAACTTTGCTATTAGTAGAACTTGTTTAAATTTAACACGATTTATTATTATCTGATAAAACTTTTATTTTACAAACAACTTAATTAATAAGTTTTTTTCTAAATCATAAATTCAATCATTGAAAAATTCCTTTTTTATTGTAGAATAGAATATCTTTCAACAAACTTCTAATTCTATATGCAAAATTATTCATGCAGGATGAGAAGCATAATTGAACGAGTAAGCTGTAGTAGAGATTGAATTAAGACCTCACTAATCGATGGATTATTTTTCCAGGCATCACAGGAGACGTAAATATTGATGAGAACGGTGATAGAATAGCGGATTATTCATTACTAGACATGGATCCAATAACATCTAAATTTGAGGTAAATCAGACAAAACATCTAAATTTCTATGTCGACATATAAATTAGTTAGAGCAGATTAAGCTCCAATTAATTAATGTCTGTTAACCTACCCTATAATCGTTGAATCAGAATCTACTAAGCAAACTTCTCCACAACAGAGAACGAACATAGTCATCATGATAGCTAATCAAAGCTAAACGTTTATCTTCTCTTGTTCTAGATTGTGGCGAATTACTACGGAGCAAACAAAACCTTGGAATACGTACCAGGTAAGCGAATTCATTGGTCTGGTGGGAGGTTGGAGCCACCTCCTGATACACCAAAATGTGGTTACGATGGCTCTTTATGTCCAGATAACAGTAAGTACTTATCCAGTTTTTTTTATTTTGCCATGCATTTTGTAGTCTTGAAAACAAAATAAATTAACGGGATTTTTTTAATACAGCTTTGCCGGGCTATGCTATCCTGTCCATTGTTCTCAGTTCTATTGTCGTTGGACTCGTAGTGGCTTCAGTCATCATCTACAGGTGAGGATAACAATTTTCATGGGTAAATGTTCAGTTGTGTGAATGCACAAAAATACGCTAGTCACGATTCGACCCAGTTTATCTGTCAATATTACTTTGAATCTATATTACATTTTTTCAACATTCATGAGAAAATTCAAGCTTTGAGATGCTCAGCTTTTTTATCAAGAGTTGTGAATTCATGATTTTTTTTTAGAAGATTCTTACGTTATTAATTTTTTTTGACTGAGTATGAAGAAATGGAACAAAGGTTTTTTGAGAAAAAATTTTATCAAAAATTGATGTTCCCCTATCTATTATTCTGCTTATTGGCTTTGGAAAAATTTTCTTTGATGTTTTAAAAATCTCTAATTTCTGACAAATTACCTCTTAACATTTTTTCATCATCGAGTTGTATAATACGAATTCTTTGAAATTTTATCCTAAAATTAGGTATTCTTCTTTCCTTTACTATTTTTTTTTTTTCGATCACCTTCAACAAAAAATGAACTTCGTGCTTCTGAACTCGACCTTAATATTAAATTTAACGAATGATCACTTATTGCACAGTTATGTGAATTGAATTTTTTAATAAAAATATTCATTACCACTTTTAATGATCATTGCTTGAATGAGCTATTTTAAAGATGTCATTTTCAGCTGAAATTTACATTTGTTTAAAATACATTTGAAACATTTTCACACTGACATAAAAGAAAGAGCTTTTCGTTATTTCATTATAAAAGAAATAAAAAAATCTAGTAGTTTATTTCAGAATTCTTTTTTTACTGTACTCAGTAACAACAGGTTGATCGATAAATTAGTTTTTAGAACCTTTAAAAAAAAATACTTCAATCAAGTTTATTGTAAAATTGTTCCTTTCACACGAATATTTATTTATTAATCCATTGTAACATTTCGTAGTGAAATAAGTCAAAGAAATGTATCATTCAATTGGAAGATGGAACTTGAAGAGAAATGATAATTAACCATTATTGGTAGAATAATTAATTTTACATGGTTATAGATAGTAAAATACACTAGAAATATTGACAGAATTTTCGATATGTTCCAAGTGTGCAGATGAGAACTTCACTTTCAAGTAATCTACCACTTTGGTCATTGTCATTTAGATTAACTATCGAGACAACAAGTAACGTCTCAAGTGCTTCAAATGTACATGTAATGCATCTGCAACAAACAATACATCTCTGTCTATGTTTTAGCGTAAGGTATCTTAAAAATGCAATTTATGGAAGCTGGTAATTTTATTTTTTAAATAAATATATTTATATTTCTATAAAAGAAGTGCATTTTGAATCGTATAGAATAAGTCAAGTAATAAAAATAATAGTAATAAAGATAAAAACAATAGTACTCATATAGATTGAAGTAAACAATGATAAAAATGTTCGTTATTTGAACTTCTTTTTACTTTATGGGAATGAGGATAAGTTTCAAGTTTTTTATTAGCTGATAAAGTGACACAATTATAGGAAAGTTCTGAGCGAATGAGGTTAAATCAGTCAAATAAGGATGTTTGATAATAATAATTATTGTAATCTATCACTTAATTACGGATAGAATCAAGAATAGGACTTAGAGCTTAGTGGATTATGGTTAAAATGATGTAACAAATAGCTGGAATATACTTAGACGACATGAGTTGAACATCTTAACGTGATATGGAAATCTGCTGGTGGATTATTCTATTTTAGGGTTTAACTGGTGATGAAAATTCAACGGTAGGGTAGATATATGATGTGACTTCACTAGGTATCAGGGTTGAAGTTGGTAGGGAATAAAAAAGTCGATGGGTGAGACCGGATGATAATGTTTATCTTCTTTACTGTCTTTTATTTCACAGACACTACAAACTAGAAGCAGAAATCGCGTCCATGACGTGGAAAGTACATTGGGAAGACGTATTAGTAGTTCCTGTCGGTGGAAGAACTAGGGGTTCGATGCATTCTCTTGCTCCGAATAAACAACGTGGTAGTCAGTTGGTAAATATTCTTGATTTTCCAATATTATTTTTACTTATTATGTTTGTTGGTATTTTCTTTTTTAATCTAATCATTGTTTTATGTATTTATTTTCAGACAATCTATTGGGATGATGATGTAAGCTTGCCTGGTGGTGTAGATAGAAATGTATATATACCTACAGGAATTTATAAGGTATTTTCTCTCGGATTTTTAATATTTATTAATAACTTAAGATTACTTCAATAATAGTATTTTCTCGTATTTATTGGTATTATGATAATTCTTTTTTTTTCTAAACGTTTTAACATTATTAAATATATGATTAGATGATTCTATAAGCTTTTGATTGATTATATTAATTGAAATTATTGTTATTGTTCGTTTCTAAAATTAAGTGCTTGGAATAAATCATTTCATTCATTCATATTCGTGCATATTCGTAATAAATATAAAAATAATCGATCAATTGAATAATTCAGCTATAAATATTGACGGAAAAAAATTTTTCATTTATTTTTTTCTATCTTGCATGATGGATTTCTGACATTATTTGAAATTGAGGCAAACACTCAGGCCAAATCTAGATCAATTTACTCTAAACTACATTAGCAAATACCAAATGATAAAGTTCGTTTTTTAGTAAAATTAATTGAATTTAAAAAAATTGTAAAATTAATTCTTGAGCTTGATGTAAATTTTATATTCTTATTTTTCTCGAGGGTATTTTACTAAAAAAAAAAATCATTTACGTTGAGAGAATAATTAATTGTTACATAATGAAGCCAATATTGGTCGTTTACAATATTTCTCATCAACCATTTTTTGTTGCATTGAGAAAATATTAAATTATTTTCATTACGATTTAATTAAAAACTCTGCATTTTAATAGAGTATTATTTCCAAGCAAGCATGGATTAAGCAAATTAAGATTTTTACATAAATTTTATTAGATTTAGTTTTCCTGATGGTAATTTGCGTAATACGATACATGAATTTTAATAAGATATTTTTTTCATCATATTTTTATTGGAACAACCAACAAATGTAATAAGAATATGCATTTTTATAATTCTAATAAATGTCTGCAAACTTTTATGAATCATATAAAAGATTTTTTACAAAAGAAATCAAATCTCAACAAGCAAATAATAGAAATATAAAATTTTATAGTCATAAAAAGTAGTATAAGTCAACCATTTGTATGACAGCCAAGCCTATTTTTTTATTTTCTTACAAGTATAAATCTTCTATTAAATTCTTATTTCTTGTTATTAGCATGCCATAAAAAAATTACAATCCTGTAAAAAATTATTTCTACGACTTTTTAATAAAAAAAAAAATAAATTAACTATTTTAATAATAAGTGTCATAAAAAATTTTTACAGAATTCACAAGTAGCAATAAAACCGCTCCCTCGGAATAAAGTTGAGATCTCAAGGCCACTTTTATTGGAACTAAAAAGAGTAAGTATTTGTTTTTTCTCAAATGAATCTAGTTAGGGGAAATTCTTATGAATAAATTAATTTAATAAATCTATCAATCTTTATTTGAAAGCATGTGATAATGCGAAGAATAAATAACTGCTTTCAATTTTTATCGATTTACAATCAAGATAAAGAACTATATTGAAGATTGTGAAATCTAGAATATAAAAGAGAAGTGCATGCGATAGGTCGTATCTATTCATGTGGTTCGTGGTATTGTGACTGTTGTAGATGAAGGACCTTCAGCATGATCACTTGGTACGATTTTATGGTGCTTGCGTCGAGCCACCTCACTGCTGTCTTCTTACTGAGTACTGTCCTAAGGGATCACTACAGGTTTAACTTACTACTTTACTCTTTTTTATATTCTTATAAAAAGTTTTTTTTTATTTAACCAAACAACTTTTTTCTGTCTTTCATGCCACTCTTTGATGCACTAATTAATCTGTTGCTTTGAAGGATATCTTGGAGAACGATCAGATTAAATTGGATCGAGTTTTCCGAGGTTCTTTGATCCATGATATTGTAAGGGGTATGGCATATCTTCATGCATCTGAAGTCAAAAGCCATGGCAACTTAAAGTCTTCCAACTGTGTTGTGGACTCTAGATTTGTTCTAAAAATTACGGATTTTGGATTACACGAATTAAGAAAACCCAGTCCTGGAGATTCTGATGATGACATGGATAGTTATGCTCATTGGAAAAGTAAGTTAATAAATAATAAATTTAATCAGAGCAAATATTGGTTTAGAAACATTCTCAATAAAAATACTTCTTGGATATCTACAATCTTGTTTTCATAAAGTTGAAAATCTAATAGGACAGCACTGATATAAAATTTTATTAGTTCTTTTATTTTGGATATTTTCCCTAATATTTACATAGAAAACTTAAATAAATAAAATAAAAATTGATTTCATATAGAACAACTTTGGACAGCACCAGAACTGTTGAGAATGGAGAGACGACCGCCTGAGGGTACTCAAAAAGGAGATGTCTATAGCTTCGCTATAATCGTACATGAGATCGTGGTACGCCAAGGACCATTTTACTTAGGAGAAGACAGCAATTACTCCCCAAGGGGTAAGTTCTTTTCTTTCAACTGTTACTTTACTGTTTGTATGCTTTTTCCTGCATTAGAAGAATCACTCCAGAGAGTCATTTCCCTTCCTGTATCTCGTCGCATATCACGTACTATTTCTAAATATTCTCAAATGTTTATTGTGAAAATATATCATATGTTTTATCATTATTATCGGATTCTTTTTAAATATTTTTTTGATATGATTTTTGAAAAAAAGATTTTTAAATAGCTTTATCTATTATTTTTCAGGTAAGTAGATTTTATTTGATGCAAGAATGCAATTTTATTCCTGAATACAACTTTTCCATCGTCAAACTTAGGAAAATTTACCACTGAAATATTTTCATACTCTCCAGTGAATTGTGGTATTAAAGCAATAAAGAATAACGAGCAAATGAGTTTTTTTATTGAAAAACTTCTGTATGATGAATAGAAATACTTTGGATGTTGAACAATTAATTTATAATTCGATCGTTTCTATTTACAACTGGGTCCAACTATTCTTCAGTTGATTTTCATTTTTAACCCATTATTAATGAAATTAGTTCACATTCTAAAGTGATAAAGAATTTTTTATTTAAATTTATTATCACTCATGGTCATATTTATTATTATATTGTTTTTTCGAATAGCTCAAGATTGCGTTTCAGTGGCACTATTAAATATAAAAGTTTTCCACAATTTTTTATTCAGTGTAGCTCTTTATTTATCTGCAGTTCGTTTAACACCGGAAAACAATATAAAAAAGTTTTTAAATCTAAAAAATATCTACTAATTAAAATTAATTCAAGGTAACATAAGTTCATATTAAATATTCCAGTTGATATTTAACTTTTTGTGCCAGAAATTAACTATCTAATCTGCTACATCATAACATTAAACTCCTGCTCCACTGCTGTTAAACTTCTTCATGATCAAAACGAGAATAGAATTTTTATCAAGAAACTGAAATAAATTTTTTTTGTAATATAATAGGAAGGTTTTTTTTTATATTCACTGACGAATTTTATCATCTGATTTGCAAAGTTGGATCTTCAATCCCTAGGGATATTCACACAATTCATGCGGGCTGGTAGAACTCTCAGAGACTCTGATGAAAAATTCTAGATGGGTCAGCATAAGTTTTCTGTTCTCTTTTCACATTTGTACGACATTAATTCTCGCAATTCCATTGTACGTGGTATTAAGTATTATCTCATATAATTTTCTATTACAAAAGAGTAACAAAAAGTGTTACAGATATTTTTCTATACAATCTTTTGTTGTTTTTTTCTTGATCTTCATCATATTCTATGTCCATTAGACGATCAAGTGTTCTGATATCATGACTTTTTTTAATTCTAGTCACGTTTAGTTGACGTGGATTTTTTCAAGTATTCGATGTCTAAGTGATCTCACTGGTAATTAACTGAATAGGTTTCTCATTCAGACATTTGTAGAACGAGGTCATATAGATGATCGAGTGGATTTATTTTCATTTTCTTTTTACTTTGTTATACTATAGATTTTACAAGATTCATCTTTTAACAGTCTATTTCTTTGACTTGTCAACTTTGACTCAAGCTAATGTTTTAAATTTTTTTTTTAGTTTCAAGACTATTTTCTTGACATTTTGAAGATATCTGTTGGTTATTTTGAATTATTCTTTGATGTTATAGCATGAGTTTTGATGACTTTTGATTTTTGTAATCGATAAAAATGTTATTACATCCATTATTTAAATTTATAAACCCCTTACAACTCTAGAGGTATTTTAAAATTTTTTATTCCTTTGATTGACAACTTTTTCAAGCATTGGACCATCAGTTATGCTATTTTGTTGATCCTGACTATTTCGATTAGAAACTTTAGAATGTCAATAGAAGTCCACCCTTCAACATTTCTGATATCCTGAGCATCTATCTATGTTGATATATACATTGTTATGTTTACCAAAAAATTTATTCAGAACTATTTAAAATTTAAAAAAAAATTTCCAAAGCATTTGTAATTTAGTTTGATTTTAAGATAATATTTTATAAATATGGTCTTCAGGAGTGATACTAAACTGGTGTATGAAAAAATCTCAAGGTAGCATTGCTCATTTAAGACCAGACCATTATCTATATAAAAAATTTAAATGCACACTTGAGTTGAGTATATGGTTGAATTAGTAAGCATATCTCTTCTTCAAATTGAAATGTTCATATATAGACAAGCTATTCAGCATTCTGGATAGATACAAAAAAGAGCTTTAGATGATTGAAAAAAATTTTTTCTTTAAAAAATTTCTATTTATATATTTTTATTATTTTAATTGTATGTATATTTAGTGGAAGACAGTTGAGTATTTTGTGTTTTTATATAAAATAATTTGATGCAAATTTAAATTTGCAAATGCCATGTTGTATTATTGAAGAAGAAACCAAACCTTTCAGAGTACAACAATGAATCAATCTCTATGTAATAATTTAATTTATCTAAGAAAATTAGGCTTCACTACACTTTGAAATTCAACTTCAAAAAAGCTTTCTATGCTCTTACTGTCATTACTTGACACGTCTCTTGGTAGATGAATACTTGGACGTATTCAATTATTTACACAGAATGCAAGACTTCATCTCCCTTGAAAGTTCACATCAATCACTACACTAATTATTAATTTATTACAAAAAAATCAGTAAATGTCATTTTGTCATCTTTTGACTTTTAACTCTACTTCGCATCCATTGATTTTAATTGTTTTGTATTCAGATTTAAAAAAAAAATCATGGATTGTAGAGTTAATTTTTTTAAATCTGATGAAACGTTTATTAAGAGTTACAAAAAAAATATCTACAAATAAAAGACCCTTTTATAAATATCCAACATGAATTTTGAAAAATTACATTTTTTTTATTTCTATTAACAGCAATTGTTTTTAAATTGTTGATTACACTTTCATTTGTGACTATTATTTGAAAGTGGAGTATATTAAAAGCCAATAAAAAAAAAATCAAATATAAATTCCAACCATTTATTTGAGAATTTACATTCATATTTTTTTTTGTTGGTTATTCATAAAATCCTGAATAACAACGGAATAGTTCGTCAATTAATTAATTAATAACAAAAATAGAAGTATCACGAATATTTACCAACAATTTGTAAACAATTGATATTCGTAGGAATGAAAAAAATTCCATCTTTGAACCAAAGGGTAGCTTACCCTCAAAGAGAATAAGTATTTTCCAGAAGTCGATAAAAATGTGTTTTCCATTAATTGACACCAGATTTTTTTACCGACTTTACACATTATTTTTCGTAGGAAAAGAAAAACTCTACATAAGGGATGAAAAGCTCCAAGGGTTGTAAAATTTTAGAATCGATAAAGACGCGCTCTTGAATTTCACTTGACGCTTTTATCGACGAGTGTCGCTTCGCTGAGTGTCAAACACCAAGGTAAGGGGGTGAAAGACAGAGTGAGCTTTGTAGAACTATGTAGTACACAGGGGTTGAAAGTTCAGTCAGAGCTTTTACGCGTTCGAGCTCGCTTGTATATTTGATGGCTTGTAAAATCTCGCGATCACGCGAACAGTGTTGGTGCTATGTTTTCCTTCATATAGTAGGTTGTTATGGAGTTGAAAAAAAATTTTTTTACATCAAATTCTTTCAATTTAAAATTACTTAACACCAATTCTCTTAAAATTGAAATAACCAAAATTATTCTTAATTAAAAGTGAATACTTTTTTCAGGCTAAAAAGAAAAATTGGATGATTAAAAAATAATTTATGTGCTTTTTTTTGATCAGTTAAATTAAATGTTATCAGTTTCAAAGTGCAAATTTGAACATGATAGTCAACTAAACCTTTTTACGGCTTCCTCTATTGTATCCCATTTATTCCTAAACGACAACAGCAAAAAAAAAAACATCAATACACCTCATTTTTTTCTCGGTTGAATTTACGATTCGATAACTTAATCAAAACGAGACAAGAACGGAAAAATAAAACTTGTCATTTATCTTCATTTTTCTCTACTGTTCTTTTGCTTTGTGAAGTTCAGCGACCTTTGACAATAGTTTTCAGTCTCAAAATGATCCGTTATATTTGAAGACCTAATTTATCAACCTTTTCTTATTCACCCATTTGAATATTTTATAGTCTTTTTCGAGTATTTCAAGTTGAGTACTTTCATATTTTACACTTCCAAAAGTATTAGAGAAGCCATCTAATAACTCTTGACTTTTTATCCTCAGTCATCAAGGCTAACAATAGATTTTAATCACAAAAGCCTGGAATACATAAACAAAAGATTTTGTATTTACTCAATAAACGGTAGTATTTCTAAATATTCATTTAATAACAATTTAATGGTGACACTAGGATTACTTTGACATAATATTGTGTTGGATAACGAAGAACAATGAATAAAATAAATAAGAGAAGTAATTGTTATCTGTCAATATAACCTAAAATCGAATGTATTTCATTTACGTTTGAAGGGCTGTAAAAGATATCTATAAGCTGGGTTATCCTAAAATAAAAGCGAGAGGAAGTTAAGGCCATAGTGAGGGTAAAGTTCAATAGAGGTTATAGCCGTCTTAATGTTGACGTCTTAGAAAGCAATAGAAGAGGGTGTTGGAGAAATTTTAACCTGATAAAAAAAGTTATACTGACTTAACCTCAACAGATTGTTTGAATTAAAGCTTGTTTTCTCTCTAAGAAATCGGGGAAGTATAAATAAATCTATAACGGAATATAAATTGAATTTTTACATTTTTGAAAGATGAAATAAATTGAAAGAATTTGAATGATATTTATCATTTTTAATCTGATAGTTTTTTGAGATTAAGAGGCAGAAGTAAACAAAAGTATAGAATATAAGCAAAGATGGAATAAATGAATAAAATCAAATAAAGTTGAATTTAAATTATAGAGAAAAATCATCAAGGCAGATTAATTTAAAGACTTAAGTCAACTAAAATAGTGAGTGAAAATATGGCTGAAAGAAGTAATGCTTCGAGCTCAAGCTCTTTAGCTTTACCGTCATTGCAAGGCGCGAGTCCTGATGGTGGTGCCAGTCCCAGAAGAGCTGTTAGTCCGTTACTTGAGGTACGAAGACCTCATTGCACCCTCAATTGCGACTCTTGCAGCGCTTATCTCGAGGACATCTACAGGCACAGTACGTTGAGCTTCCAGCAAGGTTGCTAAATTATTCAAAGATATTACCTATCTTTTTTGCATTTTTATAGTTCAGCTTTCACCTAATTGTTTCTCATGGCAAACATGTATAACTCTTTATTAAATATTTAGACAATTATCAGATTAAAATTAAGTAATAATTTGTAAATAACTTGGTAGAGTTTGAGATGGTGTAATTAGAAAAAGTTTTAATTGGAATGTTTGTTTGACTTTCATTACAATGTAGAGAATATTTGGTTAAAGGTATGCTTTTAGAGAGAGGAGAATTAATTTCTTTTGTGAGTGAACAATTGTTTATTAAAAATGTGTTGTTTTATGTTTTTCATTATTATTTTTTTTCATTTTTAGGAAGTTAAAAATACTCTTGCCAATGGAGAAGTATGATAAAAGTATGATTGTTCAAAGTTCTATAGAGATTTATTGGATAATCAATATTCCAATGGTCCATGTCCACCAATCACGAATGAAAATGATGAAACTCGAAATGCCTGGTAACGCAATTGCTCCTAACACACTACTAAAATTCATGAATTATAAAATAAGCCACAACAATTCAGTGCCTTTATTGGGGTGATAGTATCAGTGCTGAAACATCGATTGTATTCATGGCGAATATTGGCTTAGCAAAGTAATTTCATCCCATTGCGTTTACGCTACATTATATTAGATTCTGTTGGGACAAAGTACAGGTTGAACGGATAATCTACATTTCTACATGGTTCCAAGGTACATATGTGTATCAACACAACCACCAATATATACATGAGTGAATATCTCAGAATGATTTACCATATATACATATATGTAACTTTCTGCATAAATCTGAGAAAGTTAAATAGATTGATGAAGGAGAGACAAAAGCATTACACTTGTGTTTGACTTTTACGGATTGTATCTACTTGCATCAGTGTCCCGTCGAGTAGCACAATCTTAAACTTAGTCAGCCAAGTGAGCATAAAAAATTTGATTTTCTCAAGGACAAATGAAAGACAAATTTGAGTGACATGATTCTCAATGGTTTGTTGAAGAATATAAACTAAGTTTTCCCAAAAAAAACTGTTTTTCCTAGAAGACTGAATTTTTTTTTTTTCGATGCTCCTTTGATGGTTGTAGAAATTGGTTATAGTGCTTACAAAAAAGACATTTTGTAGTGTGAAATTGAGGATTAAAGTGAAAAGATTTTCCGTATTAGGAAATCGAAGAAATGGTTGAAAGGGATGTATTGAATGCTTTCACTTCATTGTCAGATAGATCAGCAAGAGAGGATGTATAGAGAATTGACGTAGCGCAATATGAGGGTCTCGACTGTTTCCCACAAAGCTTCTCACTCTTGAAATCGATATCACGTCTCTCGGTTTGCGTCGGACTATCACGCGGATACCAATAATGACCACGAATGAGTCTCATACTGTCTATCAAAGCACCACTCCTAAGTGCTAAGATGAATTTCGTGATTTATAAAACATTCTCTAGAGCATTAATGTCTTTAGGAATTTCGGATTGAACTTGATGAATGCATACATGCTAAAGTCAATATAAACCGAAATAAATACATATCATTTCTTGCAAAATAGTTATATTTCTTCTTTAGAAAAAAAACTAAGGTTGTAAATTTTAAATATCAGGACGTTTTGATGGCACTGGAGATTAAGTTAGGGAAATAAGCAGTGTATGATCACGTAGATAGATTAAACAATGATTGAAATATGGTCTTTATATTCCAAAGAGCCTAGATTATTCTCCAATGTATAGGTCCTTACGAAAAATCAATGAAAAAAATGTTCTACTAACTTTCATAACGACATTTTTCGATTTTATCATCGACTTGGTGGTGTTTAAGTGCATCTGATTGACATTACATACTTTTTGTTTTAGAAATCGTCGAGGGAGTCAGAAGAGGAGGAGGATCTCCATTAAGACCTTCGCTTGATGAGGCAGCAGTAGAGGAAGAAGTGAGTCATAAAAACTTTTTTACTAATATCTTAGATTATATATTTAAAATACTTTCCATGGGATACATCAACCTATTTTTCGCCTTACTTTATCATCAAATTTAACCTCAGTGTGGTTATAACTTACATAAGTAATGGATGTTTATATGACTATGAAGTAAGAGTATTTGGAGGTCATCTCTAGAGAAATAATGTTATATGATTACTTCCAAAATGTATTTGTTATTTGGAAAGATAAGAGGGAATACTCTTCATTCATATGTAAGTGAGTAATATCTCCAAATGGCTCCCTGCTGTCTCTCATGGCATACATTATATCTAACCTGGATAGTTAAAATATTCAATGCTGAGGTGCTAAAATGACGTATATGTTCCAATAATTTTCAAACTTGACTTGCTCGATATCATACATTTACATTTCCTTTTTATGCTTCGATAAACATTGAATTTTCAGTCAATTTTTACACCAGAGTTATTTTCTTTTATATTTTGTGACGACAATTTTCTATGATAATGAATGTTTAAATTTTCTATCACAGTGATTTTTTTTTATACCTTTTTTTCATGTTGGAATAGGTAGCTACTTTGATGAGGCGTTGCTGGGCACAAGATTCTGCAGATCGACCAGATTTCCCTGCATTGAAGCAAACGATTAGGAAAATCAACAAGTGAGTAACTCTCTGCTAATTTAACATTTTGTAGTATTTAAACTTGGGGTAATTAATACTAATTAACATGCTCATATGTATGATAATACATGCTAACAATTGTGAGAAGTGAAATTAAGTAATGTTTATGAGTTAGAACAAAAGCAGAGATTCATGAGAAACAGGTGTTGGAGAATCTTATTTGAAATTGTTCTACTGGAATAATTTTATCTGGGAAAAATTGTTAGTGATAAAATTTTTAATGAATTAATTATAAATTACTCCTTGTTGAGTAATTAATTTGAAAAAAAAAAAAAGAAATTTAAAGTTTTTTAGCCTTGAAAGAGTTCATACACCCTTGATCATTCTCGAGTTTTTATCGTTATCTAGTTTTTAGTCTCATTAATTATCACTCCAATCATAATGCTCTAGTTTTTTATATTCTCATACCACAAAATGGTTATGTATATTTTATTATCGATTAAATTTCTATATAAAATTAAAGTAGAAAAGAAGTAAATTTACTATAAAAAGTTTATTCATTAACATTTTTTGATATCTTTTTTTTGAAGAAACTGTTCTTGAGAGGAAACTTTATTTTTGGTCTAAAATTCTTCTTTATCAGATTTTTCTGCTGGGATTCTTTCTCATGGGATTTTTTCTATCGAGATTTTTCCCAACATTCTGAATAAAAGTTTGGAAAAATTTTTTTTATTATACCCATAAATCTTGTGTCATCATCAAAAAACAGTTTTGTGAATATTAGAATCAAAAGTGATCATAAAAAAAATTGAATCATGAAGTGTTTGAGTATTTTATCACGAGATATTAAATATATCAAGTAACATAAAATAACATCATTGACAAACTATAAAAAAAAACGATTCTTTTTCTTTAATGCCAATAAAAATTGAAAGTTCAATTTTAAAAATGAAAAAGCGTTTAAACATTGGAATTTTATATAATTCTAGCACATGATGTATCTATAAAGTTCTCAAAATACAAAAATAAATTTCTCTCAGCTGTCGAGTTAGTTTAACCTTTGAGTTTGGAAACAGGTGACATGTTTATTTCAGTGATCGCCATGGGATTATTCTAGAAATAATATCAGATAAAATGATCAATTACTGCTGTAACAGATAGTTAAACTTTTTTTGCTGATGGTTCATTTTAGCACCATATAAAACATATACCTAAAAGCAATATGACCTTTCACATGCTTCATATATATTCTACGAAGAGAGGTTTAATCCTGAGAGATTAACACAAGAGTGTAAATGAATAATGAAGAAGAGATGATAGGAAATAAGATACAAGAACTATTCGCTAAATTGTGCTTAAACCAAAGTACATCATAAATGTTCAATATTTATTTTTCTTCAGGTCCTTTTTTAACCCCATGTATTTCACTCATTCATTTTATTCCTTTGAAAGTTTAAGCTTTTTTATTCTTGTGCATAAATTAACCCACCAGGTCTGAGGAATTTTTAATGATGTACTTCGCAGCTTTCATTACTCTGAAAGCTACCACCTAGGTTTTTAGGTATCGTCAAAGCATATACGTATAAGTTTAGTTCTATACAAACGACAGATATGCTTTTACAATCCAACTATAAAGACCTTCATGATGTGCCAAGCTTACGTCTTTCACCATTTCTTCAATCATTTATTCTAATTATTTTTACAAGTGATTTCCTTCTTTAATGATTCAGATTCTACAACCATAAATCTACTTCTAAATTTTATTGAAAGATTTTATTCAATAAAAGTCCATAATTTTTTTTTTATTCAAGTAGCTTTAATACGTCCAGTCAGGGAATCAAACGGTGACAAAATCAATTTCAGGTGTAGAGGATAGGAATGTGTCCTAGAAAATGGCGTCTCCTGTTGAGATTCAAAGTGGTCTATTGATTTTTCACGTAACTTGCTAGGTCAACAAGTACAGGGGCAAAAGCCTCAGATGATAGTTATAGCTAGACGAAGGTAAAAGTAGGAAAAGAAATAGGAAAAAGGTCATCGAGCTAACAAAATAAAAATCAGTTTCTTAGTATACTTTAAAAGAAAATAAAACATTTCAAATGATCGTAATACTTTTTTTTTTGTTCTACTCTCGTGATCTGGATGTTTTTGTCAATTGAAAAAAACTTTGGGTATAGAAAAAGATGAAGCCTTCCAAGTTTCTTCATCCTCACTAATGTTAGAATAATTGATGATTTTGTGAAACTTGGGGATAGATCAAGGGAGAAACATTTATTTCCTTACCATGGAAGCTTTTTTGTCTTTATTGAGTAATTTTTTAAGCCACATACGTATAGATAAAGTAACCTTTTAAGTGTAAATTTCATTTCACATTTTTTTACAGCATTTTATGACTAAAAGCAAAAGTTTGTTAACATCAAAGTTTTATTTTCACTTTGTTGAAGTCAATTATAACATTTTTTCAAAAGTTGAAAAACATTCATTTCCCTTCAGTTCATTGTTAATAATCTCTTCAAGATTGACTTCAAACTATAAAATAATATTATTTAATGTTTTAGAATCAAATTTCATGATATCGTTTAAAAAAAAATCTCTTTCTAGAACAACCTATTTTCTGGTAAAACATATTATTGATATTATCTTACATAGAGTTGTTCTGTTGAAACCTGGCATTCTCTTTTATGTCAAAGTTCATATTAGTAACCAAATACTTAAAAAAAAATATCTTCATCTTCTTTTACTCCACGTCATCAACTCATTTAATTGTCATCTTGGAGATTGCCTTCTTTACAATTTATTCAATTTAATATAATATTTCTATGACACTGCCACTTACAAGACTGATTAATTTTTTTACAACGGTTGCTTACAATATCCTAGCCTTTCAGGATCAAAGTAGAACCAAGTCCAATATTGATGCAATAAAGCATGACTATAATAGAAAGAACTCTCTACCCAAAGTTCAATGTAGTTAAAAATATCCTTAGTTAACGTCAGACAATTTTACCTAAAGGTTGAAGGGCTTTGGTCTTCACTGTCTGATAATGTGGAAATACACAATAATTTTATTCTGCATTTTCTATTTATCTATGTATTCAATACCTAGCATTGTAAATGACAGGTATGAAAATCGAAAATCAATCTGGATTATTGAATTTTTCTTAATGCTGATGGTGTATTTTTTAATTGAGTGTTTTAATGAACTAGAAGTTCATTAATTCAATTGACGTTGATGAGTTAAATTTAAATTCAGAATACTGGTTGATAATAACATTTTGCACTTTTAATTATTCAGCAGAAATAAATGTTATAATGATAATTCTTGGTTTTTATATGAATATAAGATTAATTATTGATGAAGAGTTTTTAAATTTATTCATTTTTTTATTTTTATTTTGAAGGATAATAATTGAAATCATCAAAAATTATTGATTTAACAAGTTTGCATGATAAATACAGATACATAAAAGATCACTGCAAATATTTTTCTGTTCATCAAATATTTGAATACAGAATGAACTGATGATGAGCACAAATATTTTTTTTTTTCAATGAAAAGAAAATATAAACGTGTAATGATGAAGCAAAATAGTGATAAACAATGACTGGTGAATTTAAAAAGGTGAATGTACAAGTAGACATTATTATCTGATATCATTTTGTATAAGTTCAAAACTACATTTCCATAACATTGAACATCAATTCTGACGTCAGGTACTGGTTCTGACGTATCTTTTTCATCCAGAAAAGAAACTCAATTTACAAAACAACTTGATCAATTCTGTTGACGTCCAGGAGCTCAATATTTCTGTAGCTTCATCACCAACTTTAGACTCAAGCTTTTCTTAAAAGAAAGCTTGCAAGTGTGAAAAGTTACATTATCCCAAGTTGCAATATTTCTGACTACATTTATATTGCAGTGTCAGATGTGAATAAATAATGAGAAACTTGAACTTGGCAAACTTTTATTCTTGTCACTTGATTTCCTTTTTTCTACCTCTCAGAGGATTAGATTTACATGAATATAAACAGAGTAATATAGATATTATCTTTATTGACTGGTAAACTTTAATGTGACCTATAAATTTAACGATGATACAATCATCTTTGAGATATAATACCCAAAGGTATAATCTTTTATTATTCCTAAAATGTTCTTATAAAATTTATTGTTAATCTGACAAGATATTACGAGCTGAATAAATGCACAAATTATATTTATAATAAATTTATTATATTAAGAATGTTCTACATTATTAGCAACATAAAACATGTTAAGAAATTGAAAATCTCGTTAATTTTAAATAAAGATTGAGTTAATGATAAACTGTTGAATGGACAGTATATTTAATACTTTTAAATTAAAAACTTCTTATGAATAAAAAGTTGCTTTCAATAGCAGCATTTATTAGTATTGAATGTACTATTGAAATGATAAATACGTACGTAATTTATGTTTGGTAAATCTTGAAGAATCAGTAATAAGAGAAAAAAATTCAGTTTTTCAATAAAAAAAATTTTATTATCAATTATCTGATGGAAATATTTCAAAAAATTTTTATAGATTAATTTTTTTCTTCGAGATAATTTTTGGTAGAAATTATAAAAGCTCAGCTTCCCTCTTTTAAAGCACCTCTATGATCATTTTTCAGCGAGACATGAGCTCTTGAAGTGAAAACATACACTCTCAACTTTGAACGATTATAACTTGTACAAAAAAAAATAACGGTGTAACAATTACTTAAGAGCCATTAAAAATTTTTGAGTACTTCATAAAGTGATATACTTAATGATTAAAGAAAATCTGAAACTTTAATTTAAAATTATTAAAAAATCAATAGATAAAATACATGACATTAATTTTTAAAGGAAACCATTTATATTTATCATTGTTTTGTGATCTTGTGTAATCAAAAAAAGTTATTCTCGTCTCTATAGGGATAAAATTTTCAATAACAGTAAATATTATATTAGTAATTTATATAAAAAGGAAAATATTTAATCAACATCATGAATTATCTATGAACTCAATAATTATTTCT